GTACTTGCAGAATTTTTTACTCAAGTAAAAGTAAAAGTAACAATTTTAAGTTATTTGAGTAAGAGTAAAAAAGTATCTGATTAAGTAAATAGTTTCTAGTTACTTTAGATTTACACACACACACACACACACGCACGCACGCACGCATGCACGCACGCACACGCACACACACACACACACACACACACACACACACACACACACACACACACAGCGTGAATGATTAATATGTACTGGGATTATTCCATTAAACAGCTACTTGGTTATCCCATAGCAGGCCCATAGCCAGCCTGGTATAAGGGGTGTTTCTTTTTCTCAAAATGTGGACCTTTTTGCAGTTATTCACCCCATTTACAATGTATGAGATTTAAATACTGTATTTTTGTGACATTTTAAGCACTGTTTTTAGCTGGATTAGCTTGTTAGATCGTCATCATAATGACACATTTAATGTACCAAAATATTTCCTAAAGATTTAGAATAAAGAAAAATTAATAACACTCATTTTTAAAATTCGAATTTGTTACATCATAAATCATTAGAAAAACATAAAAATCTGTTAAAGTTTTTAATTAAAACAGAACATTCAACTGTCCTCATTCAGAATTAGGCTATTTGAATAATAAAAAATTTAAACATAATAATAATAAAAGAGCTTCACAATTTTTCTAGCCTCTCTTGTAAATAAAGTGCATTTGATTTGATTGAAAATTCATGGATAACAAAAATAGCCATATTAGTTTTCAAATTTATTAAATCCTTTTTAAATGGATTAATTTCACTATTTTAGATGGGATAGCAGTCAAAATAAGACAAATGAGCTCATGTATGCGAAAACTTCTGGACCTTTGTCATTAAGGGGTGGGTCTTTCAAACCACCTGAACCCCCCCTGGCTACGGGCCTGCATAGTTACCATTAAAAAGGTTCAAATTGGGATAATTTGGACACTTACCACTACTTTTTTCAGGTTGGAGCTGGAATTCATGTATTTGCTGCGATGTCAGTTCAATGTACAGCGTGCATAGCATTATCAAACTATTCTTGTCAACATCTTGGAGTGAAAACAGACTGAACTTGAAGTCTCTTTCGATAAACTCACTGCATAGACAGCATGACCGTCCTTCTCGGAACCGCAGATGGCCATGGCGTGACCGCAGTATATAACTCGCTTGGCTTCCTTAAATGTAGCGAAGTGAGAGTACTGATTTTTCTCTAGTAATTTACTTGAGTAAAAGTACAGATATTTAAATGCACTCATAAAGTACACGTTACCCAACACTTTCACTCAAGTAAATGTAACGAAGTAAATGTAATTCGTTACTACCCACCTCTGCCAATAGGCAAAAGATTCGTAATAATCCAAAACACCCATTCATGATGTGAATGTGGGCAGCTTCATGTTTATTTTGTCAAGCCTGTGATTTGATCCGTCTACACTTAAACTTTACCCCAGATTTTTCCAACTAATACAGGATTAGCAGTATTTTCAAAAGTCCTAGTTTTAAAGGTCAAAAGTACAGTAGTAGTGTGGATGCCAGGCTTAACCATAAAAAATTGTTTGCATTTTAAAAGATATCGCACCAGTGTAAATGTAGATCCAGTGGCAGCCTATAAGGTCATGCAGTATCTTCATTATATTGAAGTTTTCAGTTTCTCTGGCCAAATGAAAGTAACACCTGCTGCAACCCTGCAATCTGTCATTGGTTTCTATGTGCATCCACATTTGTGTGTCTGTCCTGGCTGTTGCTCCTGCTTTCTGTGTTTTTAGACTGTGGTGTGGCGTCTTATAACTGTGGCCTTTTGCATCTCCCAAAATGCAGTCAGCTTCTTTTCAGCCTATTGAAAGCACTGTGCATCACTGGTTATTAAAGCTGTAGCTCAGGCACAGCTGGTGTTGACAGCAGTAAATGTTCTGAAAATAGCATTTTTATGATAGGCAGAATTAATGCTAAAGCAGACTTAAAGGAAACACTAACGTCCCATGCGGTTTTCCATGTAACAGCCCAAGACGGGAGAGCAACCAAATCCAACTGTTCCCCTCATGCAAACTCATTTTGGGAAGGCAATTAGCGGCTAATCAGTGAGATGGATCTCAACATGCTGTTTGGTACACATTGCGAATGAGGGCTTAAAAGCTCAATCACAGTCGATGGTTTCTCTCTTGTCAATCGGCAGAGCAGCCCAGTGCTTCTCCATGTTATGATCTTTCTGAAATCTGTTTGTGTCGCTCATTGTGGACGGTTATGTTCAGTAGGCCAAGTAGCAGGCAAAGGGTTTTTATAAGGAAGAAAATTATAAGCTCAGAAGCGTCATGTACATATAAGCAGTCCTTTTTTGTTCAATGTGCATAAGGATCTTGGTTCAGACTTCAACTTGAAATGTGATTTTTCAACCAAACAAAGTCAGCAATAACAAGTACACAATGCAATTTTTGTTGTGTAGAAGAGTTTTGACATTGTGATAACTCCTTTTTTCCTACATAAAATGACGTTTTTATTGTTGTTATTTTGTGTGTTAAAATATGTATCGTTTTTTAGAGTGATTTCGGGAAAAGCACTCTCAGATAGTAAACAAAGAGAATTCTCTGTCAGCAATCACACTAAACATTCATTCAGAATCAGAGATAATTCCCATAAGCTCCACACATTTAACCAGATCCATACCAAGCACGGGGAGGGGAAGCTCTCTGGGATTGGGCTAGACGCTGAATAGTATTTCTCTCAGTCTCTCTTGATAGGGAGAATGCCCCGAGCTCAGACATCTTTCAGGCCCTGGAGCCCTCTCCCTGGACAGCACACCAAATATGCTCAGCTTGACCTTGGTGTAAATTATGGAAGAATAAAATAGGATATGAAATAATATATAACATAAATTTGCATAAATAGGTGTATATATAATTTTTTTCTGTAGATGAATGCAAAAATAATTAGCTCTGACTCTGAGCTCTTAACTTTGAAATTTGAATTCTTTAATTCATAGGTCTCAAACTCAATTTCCGGGGGGCTGCAGCTCTGCACAGTTTTGCTCCAACCCTAATCAAACACAGCTAATCTTGTAGAGTATAGTACTCTTTAACACCTTCATTAGTTGGGTCAGCTGTGTTTAATTAGGGTTGGAGCAAAACTCTGCAGAGCTGCAGCCTTCAAGGAATTGAGTTTGAGACCTATGCTTTAATTTTTACAAGTGCAGAGAGGTTTTTCCCAACACATTTTTAAAAATAATAGTTCTAATAAAAATTTTATTTCGTCTTTGTCATGTTGATAATAAGTACTATTTTACTAGATGTTTTACAAGATACTAGTATTCAACTTAAATTTCATCTATAAGGCTTAACTTGGCTATTTACTGGACGATAACTCGCCTAGTTAGCATAATTAGGCAAGTCATTGGACAACAGTGGTAGACAAATCACAATATAAAAATTTCTTAAGGAGACAGGTCCGTGTATATTTCGGTCATTGGATTTTCATTTTATAAACTGATATTAAAAGACTAGCTATTGTTTGATTTTTGTTTTAAAATTCAAAAATAAAAATTGAAATACAAACTTTTTTTTCATGGTGAAAAACGAAAAAGCTTAATTTGAAAATGATTTGATTGTCATTTTTTATTTCAAATAAGAAAAAAAATAAAATCACCAGAAAACAAAAACAAAAAAGGCTCATGTTTTATATTCCAAGAGGCCTACTCATTCATGATGATTAAATGCTGCCACACACAGGCTAGTCTGTAGGCTATTATTTTTCCAACTTAATTATGTTATAAAAGGTATTTCTTGTCATAACAGGATTTTGTTAAAACATACTTTTTTCATTCAAAGGGCATAAGGATGTCTTTTATAAGGGCCAGTTATAGGCTATATGATATTTATTTATTGTTAGCATATTTTAAATCGAACATTTATTTTGATGTTGCAAGCAAAAAATTTTTTTGCTTTACTGAACGCTTTTTTGAAAAGAAAGTTATAATATTGTTAAAACCATAATACTTTCACTTCCCGAACTTATGAATATGTCATAACGAGATCCCTATATCACAAGAAAATACCTTTTCATAACAAAACTGAGTGAAGAAAAATATTTGTCTATAGTACTATAGTGATCTGTGTGAGGCATATCTGATCTCGGAATACTCTAAATTTTAAAATGATAATAAAAATGCTCATTCTTCATTTTTAATATCTGTTTTTAAAATGGAGATTTAATGACCAAAATATACACGGAACGAGACACATACTGTTGACCTTAAAAGTGCTTTTATTCCAGCAAATTATATAATATATAAACAAATATAAATATATCTAAATATAATCAATATTTAATAAATAACACTTTCTCCAGAGGAAATAAAAGTATAACAAAAAATGTGAAAAATTCATTTTTTATTTTATTATTATTATTTAATAGATTTTATATTTACTGTTAAACATACCCTGGGAAATATTTAAAAAAAGAATTTCACAGGAGGGATAATTTTTTTATTCAGCATATTTTTTCATATATATAGATATAACAATGCACTTGAATACTAGAAAACAAAGACAGTATATATATATAAAAACTAGTTATTTATACATAGAATATACATAGAATTTTCATCAAACAAGCAAGTTGATGGGACTGACCACCTTTAAACCGTGTCGTAAGGTAATTTGAACAAGAAAATTGTCTCATATTTAAACTTGACATGACGCTTCTGATTAAAGCAGCTGTTGTCAACTCATTTCAGTTAACCATGTGACAACATTAATAATCTAGCGTGCAGTGCTTTGCCTATTGAACACAGCCTAAAACTCACTGCAGGGTGAAACGTGGGATACACATTCCACCAGCACCCTCTCTCTTCTTCCTTTCAATTTCACTACTTTGTCGTTTCTATAACAAAGAAATGGTCCGCATGCCGGTCCCTCATAACTCAGCTCTTTCTTTTTCTTTTCTGCATTTTCTTTCCTTCTGCTCTTCTTTTCTTTCCCTTTTTGTTGTTCTTTTTTGCATTATAGCTAAACTAAGATTTTCCATGCATGAGGGCAGTGCTAACACTCATAGCAGGACAATGGCTGCTGACGCCAAGCTGCAAAAATGCATGAGGAGAGCGCGGGGCCTTCAGCAGCGCATGCAGCAACAGCAAGAACAGCCGCAGGAGCCCAGCCGCCCACAGGGGCCCATCAGGTACCTGTACTGTCACCCTGTGTGTTCAGATCAGTGCTCTCGCAGACCCCTGGGTCTATAAGGTTGTGCCAAATAAACAAAGTCAGTACTGCAGCACCGGAAATTTAAAAGCAGTGAAATACCAGCATGCAAACGGTTGTGAAAAAGCATTGGTATGTCATTTACTGCAAAAATGTACTGCAATTTTTTTGTACCAAAATATTTTCCTTAGTTTTGATTATTACTTTTATGCACTAAAATTGTTTGATTTGATCAGATTTATTCAGAATGGTTCATTTTGAGGTGCATTAACAAATCATTTGAGCAAAATATTATGGAACTTCTGATGTTTTTATGTTGATCATTTTACTCACATTTACATTTAGTCATTTAGCAGATGCTTTTATCCGAAGCGACTTACAAATGAGGACAAGGAAGCAATAACTATAAGAGCAACAATAAATAAGTGCTGTAGGCAAGTTACAGATATGTAAAGTTTAAAATGCAAAAACATTAGTAATTTTTTTTTCTTTCTCACCCTACACTTGTTATACCTGTTTGTGTTTCTTTTATTAAACACAAAAGAAGATATTTGGAAGAATGTTGGAAAGCAGCAGTTATTGACTTCCAACCTTTTTACTAAATAGTTTCCTATGAACTCTTAAAAGTTTGAGGATGAGTAAATGAGTAAATTTTAGTTTTTGGGTAACCTTTCCCTTTAAATTCATTACATCATTTGATTTAAAAATGTGCCTTATCCTAAAGATTTAATTTATTATTAAATGTTCCAGTCACTGTATATGCAAACACTATTATTTAATATGGTAGTACAATATTTAAATGTGTTTTCTATTATGCCAAAATCCTGTGAGCTGTTAACAGTTTTACAATAACATTCTATTCTATTCTATTCTATTCTATTCTATTCTATTCTATTCTATTCTATTCTATTCTATTCTATTCTATTCTATTCTATTCTAATTCCAATTCTAATTCTATTCTATTTTATTATGATCTAATTTTAATTCTATTCTAATCTAATTAAAATGATGTAATATTCTAATTCCAATTCTATTATATTCAGTTCTAATTCTAATTCTATTCTAATTCCCATTCTATTCTATTCTGTTCTATTCTATTCTATGCTATTCTATTCTATTCTATTCTAACTCCAATTCCAAATTTATTTTATTCTATTTAAATTCTAGTTTATTTTATTTAATTCTTTTCTAATTTATTTTGTTCTACTTTATTCTATTGTAATTTCATTTCCTATTCTAATCTATTCTAATTCTATTATATTATGTTCTATTCTAATTCTAATTGTATTGTATTCTATTTAATTCTATTCTTTTTTAATTCTGTTCTATTGTAATACTATTCTATTTGATTCTATTTTTGTTCTATTTTAATTCAATTCCATTTTATTCTAACTCTAATTATATTCCAATTCTTATTCCAATTTTATTGTATTCTAATTCTAGTCTATTCTATTTAATTATATTTAAATTTTATTCTATTCTCTTGTAATTCTAAATCATAGTCTAATCTTTTCTAAAATTTTCTATTATGTTATGTTATGTTCTAATTTTTATTCTATTCTATTCTATTCTATTCTATTCTATTCTATTATTTCTTTTATAATTCCTGTTCTAATTCTATTCTATTCTAATTATATTAAATTCTATTCTAATTCATATTTTATTTAATTCTATTCTAATTTTAATTCTATTCTATTCTATTCTATTATTTCTTTTATAATTCCTATTCTAATTCTATTCTATTCTAATTATATTAAATTCTATTATAATTCATATTCTATTTAATTATATTCTAATTTTAATTCAATTCTATTCTATTCTAATTATCTTTTATTCTATTCTATTCTTTTCTATTCTATTCTAAAGACTGTTTTTTACCTTGGTCACAATTTTGCTCTTAATTATTTATAAATAGACTTATTTTGAATGTTTGTGGGGGTGAGAAAATGGTGTATTTATTTTTATATACCTGCTCTATTTCTGTGAGTACACACTGCAATCTATTCCTTGAATGCAGTTCTAGCTTAATTTTTGTATTCGATCAGAACATTAAGTGATGTTTCTTTTTCACAAAGTTTCTTTGGGTGTTGATTAGTAGCACCTTTAGAGGTTAATCTTTAAACATACAGTAAAAATCACACAGACTGGATATGTGTTGAAGAGTTCCATAAGTCTTAGTATTTGAGGACATTTACATGAAACCATTTGCAACTAAAAATGGAAAACTGTATGCATTTTCTGTTTATTTTTAAAAAGCAGCATTTTGTGGTCTGAAAAAGGAAACATTAAAAAATGTATTTCAGAGTGTGAATTTGTTGATACGGTTATCTCCATATTTGTAAAAACTGTGATTTCATGAACATTAGTACCTTAGGAACGCGAAAGTGCTTGACATTCTATGCATGCAAACATTTTCTGAACTACAAGAAAACCTTTCCATTTTCATGTCCATTTTTGTACATTATTAATGTGTAATATTCAGAAGAGGAGGGCAGTAGGCTGATTTTCTGGCCAACGTTGTAAAACCTGATTTTACTTCTATGAATAAAGTACATTTTATATTTATTAATGAAATAACCATCCAGAAAAAGGTATCAGGTGGTGCTGCAGTGTTTTCTAAGGAGCGTGGTTGTTTTATTTGTTAATTTTATCATTCCCTTCTTTTCCCTTTATCGATTAAAGGCGTTGATGTGATGTATGGCCTGACCTGGCCAAATCCCCTTGGGTAATTACCCAATGTAGTGCTTGAGGAAGTATTTACAGTAAATAAGTGCTTTAGCACATTAATCAGGGATGTTTACCTCTGTAACAAACTTTTCCCAGTTCATTTCCCTTTATACCCACTGTAGGGCATGCGGCAGCCACCAGGAACCATTTGTCACCTAGTACAACTTTTCTTCATTTCTGAAACAGTGGTTCCCAGTGAGGGGTATCCCAGAGGTTTTTATTTCAATTTATTTTATTTTATTTTATTATTATTTTTTATCTTTTTTTTTAATTTAATTAAAAAAAATGTTTGTTCATTCATTCATTCATTCACTTGTTTTCTTTTCAGCAAATTATCCAGTATATGTTTTACACAGCGAATGCCCTTCCAGCTGCAACCCATCACTGGGAAACATATTTTTAATTCAATTTAATTTAATTTAATTTAATTTAATTTAATTTAATTTAATTTAATTTAATTTAATTTAATTTAATTTAATTTACCACTATTACTTTTTTATTTTATTTTTTATTAATTTTATTTTTACTTTTTATTTAATTTATTTGTAATTTATTTTTATTTTATTTTAAAGTGACAGTTTTTTATTTTTTATTAAATTGACTAATTAAAAAAAGAATAGTTATTCAAAATGTTAAACATATTGTTTGTTTTTATTTCAAAGAACAGCTTAATTGTTTCAAAACCATTCCCAAATAATTTATTAGACATTTGGAAATCCCTCCCTAGTCGGCATGTGAATGTAAACAGTGTCAGATTCAGACGTCTGCATTAAAAGCAACTGCACAAAGCAATAAAAACAATGAGCGTTTGGGTCCTTCAGAGGCTTTTTAGCAGTATTAGATAAAGATTTATCTGAAAATTAATCTATCACACGGGTCATCGGTGGGTCGCTGTGGGCCAGGACAGATGAAGTAGGATTGATGGTATTCTGATGGATACTCTGCTCTGCTTTATTAGAAGTGAATGCAGAAAGCAAGCAGGTTTCCCTACTGGAGGCAAGCCAACTCTCATTCCTATGCTCTCCATTTCTGGGGAGCTTTTGGGCGTATTTATGGCTGCTGTAACTCTGGTTTATACGACGACTATGAAAATGATGTCAAGGTCGCATATTGCGTCAGCTGTGGAAAGCACGTGGGGACTGTGTGTGTGTGTGTGTGCATTGTATGAGAAGTGGCTCATGAATACTGGTGTGAAGGACGCAGTTCTCCTTGAATTTGGTCCTTGGCAGCATCATAATCTTTTTGGGTTAGAAAATGTGTTATAATGGGTTTCATGCAGCAAAGGCATTTTCAGGTTGGATTGGACATTGAATTAAATGAATCTTTTGAAATGAACAAATTAGCATTGTTTGAATTTTGTTTTAATTTCACAATTGTTCTACCATTTCAACCAAACTTTTACTTCTTTCCTATTTTGTTTTGCTTGCCCTAAAGGAATAATCGTGATGGTATAAATTTATGAATGTGATAATTTTCTACACAAATTTCAGCTACCCTGACAAGTTTTTTATATATCGTTCTTATGATTTTATAGCTTTGTTTCAACAAATATTTTTAAAAAAGTTTTAATTAACTAGGAAAACATACAGTAGTACGCACTGTTCATGTAACAAATGTGACTTTAAACAAAGTTATTTAAATGATTGGCATAAATTAAACTGAGCATTTAAAATCATGTAATTAATCATGCCATTCAATAAAATTAGATAGCTTAATTGATTGATAACGGACTGAGCTAACTAATTAACCGTGCTCATTTTTCAGCAAGTGTCTAACAAAAATTACTCTCTCCCTCTTCTTCCCTCTTCAGTGAACAGCCTGGCCCGGTCCAAGTATTGTTGACAGACAATCAGGAAGAGGTCTGGGAGACCAATCCGGATTCAGTGCTTGGCCCACCCTCTCCTCAACACATGAATTCACCCTCCTCTTGTACAAACTCCCCATCTCAGCTCTCTAACCGCCCATCGCTCAATCCAGGATCTTCCCAGCCACATCCACAAGAGTCTGAGGTATGCAGCAATTGGTCAAAACAGAAGGAGGAGGAATGGGGTGGCATCAGATTATCAGACGTTCTCCAAGCATCAGGCATTCGGGTCATGCCCATACGGAAACACTTGGCCATATCTCTACCCTCTTTGCCCCTCGACTTCTGGGGTGTATTGGGAGAGGACGAAGAGCACCCTCAAGCATCGATCCCTCAAAATCCAAATCCTCCTTTGTGGCAGGACATTGCAGATAGTCCAGAGAAGGTACGCCAATCCAACACGTCTACCAGTCCAACACCTGCTACAAATGAGGAAAAGGGGTCAATGCCCCGACGAGTCCCTATATGGCAGCCTCTATGTACATCTTCCCATCCGTGCAACAAACTGAGCCCGCCTGTTGCTGCCCGTCATTGGTCCTCTTGGAGTCTTGACCGTCCTGATGCTGTCATCACTCCCTATGACACACCTCCTGAACAGAACCTACGGGCAGGAAGTGTCCTCTCCCAACACACATCTGGAAGACACCTTCCTCCTCGCAGTCCCATGAGCACCAGGAAGAAGAATATCTCTAAGCACTCGAGCTTCCAAAGCATTGATCTGGAGCCCACTGAGGCTGAGGACCAGGAGCTCTCTGAACTGGACTCACTCTACCAGGCCAGTCTCCAGGCTGGCCCGGCTCCTGGTCGAGCCTTGCGTGGTACCAGCTCACCTGCTGTTGGGAGATCAGGTAAATAAATGTCTTGAATTTTCTCATACTAAAAACATCCATTTTAATACACTAGTAATACACCCACTATTAGGAAATGGTCACAAAATGGTAAAGGTACTGTGAACTGGGTCTAAATTTGTACACTTTTGACTACTTCCGGATACTGTCAAAACAGTTGATCAAAATGCTTTTATGCTTTTTTTGCAGAAAAAAAAATAGCTACTCTCTACTCCCTACTTACCAAACACATTATGTTATAAGCATAGACTGTAAAAGTTATGGACCGTGGTGTATCCGTGACTTCACCCATAGGTTTCTTAAGAACGCAAAAGAAGCTACAATAAGGCGTGACTAACTGACGGCATTTTATTCTTGTGTCATTGCACCGACCAGGATATACCAAACAAGGGCATAGAGGCGGAACATAAGCCTGCTAGCATTTTGCTTGCACAGCCTTTTCTTTGGGACAACTGCTTAATACTTCATATAATTTCACTCACCTGGGAAAAGGAGGCCACGTGAATGCTTAGTGAACACAATTAAGTGCACACAGCAAGCCACAACATATGATAATTGTAAAAAAAAATATTCCAAAAAGTAATTGACTGCGTAAAGCCACATAAAACAAAACAAAAATAGGATGTTCAGTTTATGCTGAGTTCAGCGGCTAATCAGCCGGAATCAGCTGGGCTGACGAGACAGCAAGCACTGAGACCTAGCTGTCACTCAAGTGGTCATGCCCTTAATTATGCAGACTTAATATGACTTAATATAAATGAAACGGGTGAGTTATAAAATAATTCACCCCCTCACAGTTGTCATGAAGGGTATTATTAGCTATATGAACCAAAATCGTTCTTTGTACTAGCCTGTAAACACCTTTTTTTTTCTCCTGTAGAGTTGGCCACTTTAACATTGGGCTCAATAGAAATCTGCTTTATCATGGAGCCAGGACTAGCGGAATTTCGATGAATTGCAGTTTCAGTTACTTCCATATTTGCTTCACGAAGGAGAGCGGGAGGTTGTCGCTTGCTAATGAGACATTTTAACAGGGTATTTATAGTTTGTTGGATAACAGTACTATTGAAATCACGGTTGTCATTCACTTACTTTTAGTTACTTGCTTTCTTACTCTGTTGTGTGCTTTCATTCAATTGTACTTTTGCGTCCCTCTTAGAATGCTTTTGCAAAAAGTAATGGAGAGCATGATGAAATAAGAAGAGATGTATCTGAACACATCAGTACAAGGCAGATAAAGTAAAGCATCTTGCTGACCACTAATTAGATTACTGGATATTCACCTTCACAGCACATTCAATCAGATATGATGAATTATGGTGGTTATTTGGATTTCTGTGTAGGGAAATAAAATTTTGATCTGTAACTAGAGTGCTCCCACCAATTTTATATTGGGATAGGAACCAGACAAGGATGTAGGGATGCTGTAAAGCTGTCACAGGACAGTTGAATATAATGAGAATACGGACCAGCCTCCTCTTGCACAGATTGGTTAAATATAAACATCATTAAAAATGAATTATGTGACAGCTTTATACCACAGTTCTCAAAATTTGTCAAATAAACTTCCTTTAGTACCTGTTAAGGCCTAAAATTTTTGTTTCAGCTTTACTAACAATGTGTTCACATGTACTTCTTTTTTCATGAGTGAAATCTAGTCATTTCAATTAGAATCATCACTTTTTACTTGAGAGATAAACATTTCTCCATGCAGATTTTTCATTGGTGTAACATTGATTTGGGGTTTACCAACAAAAAGAAGCTTTACTTGAATATGAGCTTTGTGTTTGTGGTGCTTCATGCATTGCTGCATTATTGATTTAATCTACAGATCTTGTTTTGCCAGCAAAATATCACCATACCTTGTCACCAAAATGTCACCATACCTTGAAGTGGTAATGTGTCATTGTAAATGTCATATCAATAATTTAGTTCCACTGAAATCATACTGACATGCTGGTACTGTATAGCTTAGCCTAGTCTAGCTTTTAGATGTGTAACGGGTCAAAATGTCAGAGCTGAGATAAACGTTCCCTGGTGTCAATATATGTGCCCGTCGTACTGTTTGACATTGGTTCAAATGAGTTCAATTGAACTGCATTTGTCAAGTATAGTTGCTTTGTAATTTTATCACCCAAGATTGGTACATTTAAACATTTATACATTATTCTGTTCATAATGCCTATTATGTTATTTAGTTACCTAATCTTTTAACTAAAGTTGATTAAATATAACCACATGTAGTCTCAGTTGCCTTGATTTTCTTTGTCAGTACCTCCTGCTGCTCGAAAACTGCTCACTGGAGTCGGACGCTCTCGAACCCCTACGGCTGAACTCGAGAGAACCGCTTATGGACCCCCAGGTTGTTACAGCCCTACTGGTTACATGAACATGGTAAGAAATGAGACACTACACTGCTGTTGTTACTGTTGTACTTACTGCATCAGTGGTTTAACATTTAATATATGTTGCTTAGACCAGTGGTTTTCAAAGTGGGGGGTTGCTTGGTGATTTCCAAAAATCTCATATATGTTAGATTATTAGAATTACCATATTTTCCATAACCTACAGAAGAAAAAAATAGTATTTAGTAGTTACATAAAAAATAACAACATGAAAATAAGCCATCAGCCTTTCAGTTTTTTTCCATTGAATTGTGTTATTACGCTAGATTAAAGACAGCAATAGTGTTAGTTGCAGGAGATTGATTGTATGGCACTATACTAAACTTTGACATCTTGACGGCACTCGTACTCATGAAAAATAAAGGCCACGATTGAACATGGAGGATGATCTTCAGGTGGTGGTCTCTAAAATTAAACTAAGAATAGTCTTATGCTGCAATCATTGTGCCCACCATTCCTGTTAGATGAGGTTAATATTAAATTGAACAAATGAATAATTGCTTAAAAATGATATATTTGTTGAACCATTGCACTGTTTTGTGTTTTCAATATGCTACTTTTACATAGTTTCTATTGGTGTTTGTTTGTTTATAATCACCTCCAAGGATTGTGGGGGTTGCCAGTCACTGGAATTGTTATTTTGTGGGTCACTGGCAACAGCTGGCATACACTGCCAGTATGTGACACTATAAGACTTTAGATACACTGTAAAACCCACTGACTAAAAAACAGTCAACTGAATTATCAAATTTACTGAAAGTTAATTCTACTCATTTAAAAAAAGAGTTTTGAACTCAGTGTTGAAGGTAATTAGTCTATTCAATACGTTGTTACTTCAACTTAAATGGAGTAAGTTCACAGCACTCATATAGATTAGTTTTTAACTCATATGGTTTGTTGCTATCAGCTTTCTCAAATGGTTTGAGTTGCCTTAACTTATTGGGTTTTACAGTGCTCAGTTGGTTTGAGTTTTCTTTATTTATTGGGTTTTACTGTGCGCAAACTGCTTCGTTTACTCAAATAGATTAAGTCCACAGTACTCATTGAGATTAATTTTTAAACTTTTCATTTTTGAACTGAATTGGTTTGTGTAAACTACACAAATATCTATCATTAAAAATGTGACTTCAGTCAAATGCATTTCAAGCTGCAGTACTTGGTCTAGACATTTGACCACCAAAATAATCATACAGAAATTGTTATAATATAAGAAAATTTGTATTCAACTGAAATATTTATATTTAAATTACAAATTTGAACTGCATTTGTATCCCTAAAATTGGTATCTTGATGTCAAAACAACATTAAATTGACATTTTAAATTGATGTCAAAAATGCACAGAAAATCAAATACAGGACAGTCGTGTAATTGATCTTTCATGTGTTTTTGATGCCAATGTTAGATGTCATTTTGACATTAAGGTAGTTAGTTGACGTCAAATTGATTTATATTTGTGACATGCTTGTGATGTGATAATGAGGGATTGTTGTATTTCCGCTGTGTTTTTGTTATGTCTGGTTTCTCTCCACATCAGAGCCTGCTTTTTATACAGAGCACAATCTGTTAGCACATGTTGATTTTGTTTGGGTGTCGTATCTGGTTTCTCCTTGACTTGTTATTTTTTTATAGCTGCAGTAACTCTTTGTTCTCTGTAGCCTCTGTCGGTGGCCCATCAAGGGCTACAGTCAGAAGAGGACGACCAGTATGATGCGGATCACCTGCGCCGTATTGCTCGCAGCCTGAGTGGAACCGTCATTGGGCGACGCCAGAACCGTCTTGCTGTCTCCCGAAGCTTTGTAAGTATCGCAGACATGATAATGCCTATATAATATGTGGAGCTTACTAACAGCTACAACAAGAGTAAAGTAGTGTGGCTATAGCGACCACTGCTATTGAAGAGTCCGGTAGAAGGGGCCAAAAATGGGGGAGGAATCAGATATCTGCCCTAGAAACCTGATGAGAGTGCTGTCACCTATGCTGAAGAGTGCTAACACGTAGCTACTGTCACTTTAGCCTGATCTATGTGCGCTGCCTGTCCCTTGTCACTCACTGCTGAGCTTAAGGTCATTTTTTTTAACACTACATTTACATATATGCTTACATCCATGGCTGATGCTTTCTATTCAAAGCTACTTAGTGTGTTGTTTTGGCAATCATTAACATATACAGTAATGTGTGCCAAAAATATATGAATGCATAACTGTTTTTTCACATGACATCCACGTGCACCAACGCACACGAGGACACTCATATACACATGCAGCGCTTCACATTGTCTTATTGAGTCATACTGCCATCCTGTGTCTATAAGTTGTAACATCACTACATTTGAAAAGAGGCCTGGCATCTCATTTATAAAGACACGCATGTCATTATCACCTTTCAAAATGTTAAGGTTTATATGTGTAGCTGGTGTACACTTCTGATTTCAGTTTATTAAGCATTTTAATATCTTGAATGTATGCATATGAACAAGTTTGGATAATGGGATTCACCTTACTATTTTCAAGTTTCTGTCATTGTGTGTATATAAATATTCAGTTCATTATCCTGTAAGTGTTATATTTCCTTCAATTCTAAAACAGTTTATTCATCACATTTACATGCACATTATTTATCAGACCACATTCTCGTTATCTGCTCCAAAGTGTGTATGATTGTTATGAATAATTTCTACAAATTTAGTATTTTTGCAATTTATAAGTTTGCGTCCTGAATAATTCCATATAATTCTATCCATCAATATTTGCAGATCATAGGTTGAAGTATGAATTAGAATTATAATATTGAATAAAAAACCCTCATAATATTCAGTTTGTGAAACATAATTATAATACGGTTTTATAAGATGTAGAATAATGTTTTTGTTTTTTTTACTACAGCATGAATAGCAACATTGTATTGCCAAGACAGCATTTGTTGATAAAAAATGTAAAATTCCATTGGAACATTTCTATGGCAAGTAGGAGCCGGTCAGTCAAAGTCAAAATGGAAAACATAATTATGTTAACAAAATTATGTTAACTCTATTGTGCATGTAAATGTGTTTCTCATTTCATTCATATCCTCTCACTACTGACTATTGCACAACTGAAAGTCAATAGAAAATCATGTCAGTACAAAATAGATAGTACAGCTGGTCTTCACTTGCTGTTTGTGGAAGAACATTATCACATCAGATTCTCCATTTTAAGGCATAGTTCACCCAAAATGAAAACGATGCATTTATTTTCTCACCTTCATCTCATTCCAAATCTATATCACTTTCTTTTTTTCTGCTGAACACAAAAGATGTATTAGAAAAACTCTATTACAATAAAAGTAATTGGTTTTCCAAAAAAAAAAAACATCTTCTTTTGTTCCACAGACAGAAGAAAGAGTGTTTGAAACTATGAAAGTGAGTAAATAATGGCAAAACAGTCATATTGGGTGTACAATCCCTTTAATAAATCTTAATTTGTTCCTCATTTTTAACTTGGGATCAGATCTGATCTTGTGTGCATTTTATAAATGAGGCCCCTGATTCTTTTCGTGCCTTACTTTTGTGCTCCCCATCTTTTCCTCTCTCCCCACCCCTCTCCTCTCTTCTCTTTTTCTCTCTTTTGACTGAATGAACTCGTGTTTTTTTTCCTCTGCCTTGTGCGTATCCAATGTGTATGTGTGTGTATCTAGCTCGGGGACTCTGGGGTTTCGTCATGTCAAAGCTTCATGTACTCACCTAGTTGCCTTCAGTTTCCATTGTCTCATTCAGACCTCCATCTGCTTCAACCCAGCTATCTCCATCATCATGCGTCACCTTCACCCCTGTCTCCACAGCCTGGGCCTTGCAGAGAGGTTCCAGGTAACGCTCACTCTCGTTTTCCACTTCCATAACCACCACCTCTACATTCAGAGGGCCATTTTCCACTTCATGTTTCTGCCATTGCATTGCATCGTAGTCTAGGCGCCCTTGCTAAGCAGTCTGCTTTCGCTTCATTTTCGTTTCTTTACTGCTGTTGAAGAAGCTCCTCTTTGGTTGTTGCTTTTTTTTTTGTTGATTGGTCTGGATCCTGTCCTTCACACTCCATCCTACCCCACTGCAGGATGTCTCCAGAGGTTCTCCGAGTTTCTGGCTGTGTCTGACTGGTGTCAAACTCTCTCCAGTGGGGAGCACTACCGTCCATCACTGAGGGTTCCTGGAGGACGTCCTGACTAAGGTTTCCATCTCAACCAAGTGGCTTTGGACACAACCGTGTCCTTGGATGCATTTGTTTTCCTGGACTACCTTTCTGCACACCCAATCCCAATTCTCTTCACAGTTTCCTGGAGAACTGTCCTAAGATCTGATGCCATCCTTTATCTCCCTGTGCTCTGTATTGTTCCTGGGATGATGTCCTTCTGTTATATTGAGCTATAGTCAGTAAATTTTTCCATGCAAAAGCCCCTGAAGCTCGATCCACAGCATGCTGGAAAGAGACACCAAAACCAACTTTTTTTTTAAGAGCACTGGGATGGTGTGATGCTTTTGTGGTGTGTGTATGACTAACTTATGGTCAGACCTGCAGCATGCAATGATAGGAGCTTGGGGTCCCGACTCGGACCTCCCACGGTGAGCCAACCAACCCAGAGCACTTAATTTAATCGACTCCAACATTCAGTTACTGCAGAGGAGAAGTATATGGTACCTCCATGCTGCATTAAATGGTAAATGTGTGTTTGTCTGTATGCGTGTGTGCATGTGTTGGGTGGTAAAAAGGAAGGAGCTTGTTGTAACCCTGCCTTTTGTGTTATTTATGTTTCTTGTCAAAAGTTTGGAATATTTGCTGTTTTAGATTTATATTAAAAATGATTTTGAAATATGTCTTGTTCCCTCACAAGACTAAACTAATTTACCCAATAATAAACTAAAAACAGTCATATTGTCTAATATTCAAAGCACAATGTATTCCTGTGTTGGCAAATCTGTATTTTCAGTAGCTGTGTCTTAGTATTTCTGAAAATGTTCAGTTTTGTGAAGTTTCACAAAACTAATTTCGAGGCGAGCATGTGATATAATTGACCGCAGCTGGTCCGTTTTAGTAATCATCTGATTATTCCAAATTTAACATAAATATCCAGCCTAACTTTACTCCCTATCTTCATTTTGGAAATCCTCCCCCCATCTACCCCTTCTCCCTCCTCCTTAATTCTAGGATCGGTTGACATGGCGGCTTAGTGGCTAGCACTGCTGCCTCACTGCAAGAAGGTCGTTGGTTAAAGTCCTAGCTGGGACAGTCTGCTTTTCTGTGCGGAGTTTACATGTTCACCCTTACGGGTGTTTTCCATCATTGGGATAGGGCTGTAAGTGTTTCCGCTGCGTAATACATATGCTGGTATAGTTGGCGATTTATTCCACTTTGGCGACCTCTGAAATAAAGACAAAGCTGAAGGAAAATAAATAAATGAATGAATAATACTTAACCCAGGTCATTGAATGGTATCACAGTTTCCACAGACATAGTAAGCAGCAGTTTTTCAAAAATGTTACTTGAGCTACCAAATCAGCCTGTTACTATGATTTAAGAGTGATCACTGTAGACTGGAGTAATAGCTGCTGACAATTCAAGCGTACCATCAAAGGAATACATTGAACTTTAAAATATCTTGGAATAGATATATTAACAGTACAAAATATTTTACAATATTGCATTTGTTTTACTCCATCTTTAAACTAGAAATATTAAGCAAAGTTTAGGATAGACATCATTTTTAGCCATATTGATTGTTTTAAATGATTAAATGATTGAAAATTAAATGATTATTACCACAGTTTTACAGCAAATACCAAGGTTCAATTATGATTAGTATAGTGAACCCATAAATATTTAGTGGTTACCATAATTTGACATCTTTTTTAGGTATAGGTAAACCATTGTTAGTTTCTTTCAAAACATTTAAAAACTATATTTATTCCAGACTTTTGACCAGTATTTTTTAACACACACACACACGCTTCATCCTTCCTCCTCGCCTGTCTCACAGATGCAAATCCTCAGCAAATCAACGTGCTGGAATTATCGCCGCTTTGCTGACCGTTTTTTCCACAACTCTCCTGCAAACTATTTTTTTCTCTTTCAATAGCAGGATGGGTTTTTGTCATGTAGATGCTAAGTACTTCAACCTGTACTAAGTGAATAGAGATGTTTTGTACGGTGTCATCTCTCAGCTCTGGTGCTTTTTGTCAGAGCAGGCATGTAAATCTGTGGCCCTGGCGTGGAAAGTGGAACGAGACTGTCTCTTCTAACCTTTTTCCTACTTCTTCTCTCTGATACGGGCATTCCCTGTAGCACACAGCTGTTTTGTGTCTCGTGTTACAGGCAAAAGACTGTGTACATGTTTGACTGAACATACACTAACAAGCAAATTTATTGTTAATAAAGAAACTATGACATCTTAAGAAACATACAGAGGAATGGAGAAAACTACGTAATGACGTAATGGAATGTTAATCAATTCTAGTGGTAATAATTATTATCTGCATTAAGACAAGTATAGTACACTTCAGAAGTGTAAAGCTGGAGAAAAACTGCTATTTTAATTCCATTGACTGTTCTCCCGTTTATACAGGGAGATATGCCAAGTTAAGCTTCCTTTTTATTGTTTATTTGACTTGATTTGATCGATTTTATTTGAGTTTTTTTTTTTTTTCCTTGCAGTGACACTGAAACCACAGCTATGAGTCTGGCACATGATGGATCTTCAGGCCTGTAATAGTTGAGGGGTCTCATCCCATTTGATTTTAGTAGAATTTACATTTTTCTAGATTTTTTTAAAGCAAAACGCAGCTGAAGAATGTTTGCCCCCGATAGTGTTTAAATGGAGCTCATTTGAAGCTTCACTAGCCTGAGATGGGGTCTTTGAGCAAGGATTGCTTTCACTTAAAGAGATAGTTCACCCAAAAATGAAAATGTACTCGCTATTTGCTTTCCCTCAAGTGGTTCCAAACTTATTTGACTTATGGGGATATTTTGAAGAAACCTGAAAACCACTGAAAACAAATACAATGGACGTCAATGTGTACAGGTTTTCTGTTTTCTTCAAAATGTCTTCTTTTGTGTTCAACAGAAGAAAGAAAGTCAAAAAGGTTTGCAGCAAGTGAAGAGAGATGACGGGATTGTCATTTTTGGCTTAGCTGTCTCTTTAATAGGTTTTGTGATATATATATAAACAAACACTTAAACCAATCAACAGATATTTTGTATCACAATATAATATGATTAATGCAGTATTTTACTTTTCATCCTAATCATATTGTGCTGTGATCTGCATTATTTTTTTAATTAAAGTGCTAAAATGACAAGTGATTCTAACAGATATAACTTAAGAGATTTAGACCTTATTTAACTTTGTCTTAACCAAAGATTGGCTCTAACACAAAGATATGTTTGTTTTTTCTTCTTTGTCATTTATTCATCTTTCCTTTAGTTGAAAGGATGTTTGAGAATGTAGCAAAGGTGGCGTATGAGTATGCTATGCAAAAATGCTCTCTCCTGAACTACCAGCAGAGTCAGACTGGGACAAAATCGAATATTATTTTCTTCTTTTCTTCTTTTCCTATATACTGAGGAAGAAAATGATTTCCTGCTGAATTGTTGAATCTTTACTTATTAATGTCTGTACAGTTAACAGCCTTTGAATGCGAGTTGTAGCCAGTGGAAGGTGGATTTCTCAAAGATGAAATGGCATTTCAAGGGTTTTCCATTTCGGGACTCATTTGTAAATGCTTGAGGTTGAGTGAACTTGTATTTTTGCAATAAAGTTATTACCAATGCACTCCAGCAGGGGCGCTGCACAAACGCCTACACTCTGTGTCTGAGTATTGATTTCTTATACATTTTTTTTTTGTGATACATTAAACTTTCTTTGACAGTATTATAACGTTATCAAAACTCTTACAGTGAGAGTGATGACTTTGACATACTAAATGCATTGTGTTACTCTGTTACAGGGTTGTCAAACTCTGCACAGTTTAGTTCCAACCGTGCTCCAACACACTTACCTGTAGGTTTCAAACAAGCCTAAAGGACTCAATTAGTTTGATCAGGTGTGTTTAATTAGAGTTTGAACTAAACTGTAAAGAGCTGTGGCCCTCCATGAACTGAGTTTAATGCCTGTGCTATCTCATACATTTAATTGCCATAATTGCTGCATAATACAATACAACAAAAACGCACCCGAGTGTGGCTGGCATTATTCATTGCAGATATAGTTTTTCAGTAGAAGGAAGCGTGGCAAATTCTTTACTTAAATAGTTTTCCTTTTGCACAAATCACACTTTAGGACAGGGGTGGCCAACCCTGTTGCTGGAGAGCCACCTTCCTGCAGATTTCAGTTGCAACAAATATCAAACACACCTGCCTGTAATTATCATGTGGTGTTCAGGTCCTAACTAATTGGTTCAGGTGTGTTTGATGTGGGTATCAACTGAAATCTGCAGGAAGGTGGCTCTCCAGGAACAGGGTTGGCCCCTGCTTTAGGACATTTTTAGGCTGGTCCAGATGCACAAATAAATAAGAAGTTAAACACACGCACATGCAGACTTTGTTATACTGATAGAACATGCAAGTGGTTCCCAACAAGGGGGTCCCAGCCCTCAAGGGGGCCTCAACGAGCTCTGTGGTGGGATCACGTCATATTTTTACAATTTTTTAGGAATTAATTTTATCCTCTGGCTGACTGAAAAATTGACAAAATTGTAAATCATCCTCTATAAAAACAACTAAGACTTACTTTAGATTCACCTTCAGCTGCTAATAGTAAAGACTTAAGCATACTGGACCCAGGTGAGGAAGCTCCAAACATTTCAGGTTGTAGCGCTAGCAATACTGGAAATGCAGGAAATACCAAGATAGCTTACTATACTATGATTTAATTTCTTTTTCTCAAAGCAAAGTGTCCCTGACCCAGCCATATGCATTTTTGTCATCCTTACTATAAACCTATATGTGGAGGGGGGCCTTACAATATTTTCCGGGGAAAAGGGGGTCTCAGGCAAAAAAAAAAAAAAAAAAGGTTGGGAACCACTGGAAAATGCTATGTGGCACTGTAGTATAAATATATTTTGTTTCATCGTACATTGACATACAGTACAGAATAGCTTTGAGAATAGCCGACTAATGTTGGCGTTACCTTGAAGATTGTGAAAGCATACATTCCATCCATCAAAGAACAAAAGAAAGGCTTTCAGGTGTTGACACTAATGTTACATTCTTAGGATTTTCTCTGAAAAAATAGCACCAAAAAAAAAAAAATAATAAAATAAAATCAATCTACTGACTTAGACAATCTTATTTTTCAGCTTTGTAATAAACTGCTTGCAGAAAAAAGAAAAATTACATTCTTACATAAAGCTTTTAAAAAAATCTAAAGAATATTTTATTTGCATTTAAAGAACATTTTGTTCAATGAAAAGTTTCCATGGATGTAAAAATGTTTTTCATAGATCTATAGATACAAATAAAATTGATTAAGAGTGTACAGCCATCGTATCCAGTGTTCAGCATGAGTACACCCCATTTTGAAAATGATTATTTTATTCTTTTCTCAGTGAATATAGGCAATGTATTTTGGTGCATTTAAACAAAACAGATTTATTAAACAGATATATTTATTAAAATAATACTTTAATCACCAAATATGTTTAGAAATCGAAAGATAAAATAATTAAAGTCAAGCTAAACATTGCAAAAGCAATTACAACTTACAAATTTTCATCAAAATAATTTATCTTTTTTTTTTTGTTCTTTTTAAATTTGTATTTAATATTTTTCTATAACATATAAATTTGGCTGTACTAGATTTTGGACTTATCATAGGTAATTTTGTTAGATTTTGTTACACTCCAGATTTGGCTTCAGTACTGACTAATCTAATGTATTTGCACAAATATAATAATGTATAGCTTCCAATTAAAAATATGATGGATTTGTGAGGTGTGTACTTATATATGCTGAGCACTGTAGTTTTTCTTTCTTTTGTCGGTCATTTATTTATATATTTTTATAGTTTGGTCCAAATTGAATAGTTAATAACAACCGTAATGTCAAGAAAGGCTCCCGCTATCCAGCACCTAACACACAATTTAAAAAATTTCTTCAGTAATATGCTTGTTTTCAAACTTGTTTCTAAATTACCAGTTGCAGTATAGACATAATAAACCATTAAATCATTTTGTGATTTTTTTTTCAATGCTGTATGATAATTAAAACTATAGTGAAGACAGGACAGCATATTTCTGCTTACCTCTTGGTTTTTAAAAATTACGTCATTATTGTATTTACTTATTTTTTTACAGTATTTATATACTGCATTTATGAATAGTTGCTGTGATATGAAATAAATAAACACGGAGGTCACCTGGTTAGACACCGCTAATTTAAAAGGTATGCTATGACTCTGATTACATTTTTTATGTTTACCTTGACCTTAATCAAAGAGCATTCTTGGAACTGATGTGCCGATTGAGTTGATGGCTGCTACAATTTCAGTTTGTTTAGACAATTTTCTCCACAAGATGTCAGTATAGATAGTCTTCATTTATTTCTATTTATTTATTTACTCTACATTCAGTGGGTTTATTTTGTGATGTAAAATTTCTGAAATAACATTCTAAGTAATGTAGCCCGGTGAATAAACCTCCTGCTGTGATTCTGTAGACAACCGCAGTCGTTGAGTCTTTGTGGATTACAACAGTGACACTCTCTATACAAAAGAAAACACATCTCCTTTTTACCACAGGAAGATTTGTGTTCCAGGAATACATTATTTTTTGTCAATAAATGCTTGATGGTTTTTACCCTTGAAAATTCACTAAATTCTCCTTAGTTCAAATGACGGTGATAAAAAATGAAGTCTTTGCAAATCCTCAAATAAACTCTGTGTCTTTCACACACCGCAGCGTTTGTGGATGTGGCACAGGACAACAAAGCGTTTCATTATTGTGCATGCCATGCTGTTCTGAGATGCCCTTTTCAAAGTTGCCAAGGGGAAATAAATAACCCGATGTACTTATGTTATTTAGATTTGTTTCGGCAAAGAGGCATTCCTGATTGCCAGAAAGAAGAAAACAGAAATATGATTTATTTATTTTTATTTTTTCTACTGGGTATAACAAACAATGACAGTCAAACAGAGCAATGGTTCAGAAATTATCCATGATTCAGATAAGAACCCAGACTAACCCTGACCCAAACTTGAGGACAGAGACCTTCAGATGACATTTAAAGGCCAGATTTCTATCAATAAAACACCTTTGTGTTGTAATTGTCACTGGTGAATAGACCGAGACTAAAGATCAGTGATGAGTTGCACGCAAACAGTTTTGAACAACATTTAAAGTACAACTCGCATAGAGTACACTCCCAGGCCATTTTATTAGGTACACATAGCTAGTGTTGCTATATGCTATTAATTCTCTGTGGCATGAATTGCAACAGGGTGTAGAGAAACCCCTGTAAACCCTAGAGGTGGTTGTATGTCAAACTCACTGGAGAGTTTTTTTTAAACACTCAGCGCTGCCTCTATGCCATCAACAACCAGTAAAGTTTTGTAAATCCCATCTATCTTCTTCATTCTGATGCTTTCTTTGACATTTAGAATCAGAAAGAGTTTTATTGCCAGGTATGTTCACAAATACGAGGAATTTGTTTTTGTGACAGAGCTTCTACAGTGCAACAGAATTACAGAGACAAGATAAAAACAGATATCAAATAAATTTTAAAAATAGAAGTAAGTAGTGAATGCAAATATCCAAATTGACAAGTGTATACTTGTACAGGTATATTACTATATACAATGTTATATGTGCAGCTGTTACGTGCAAATTGGCATGTAAAGTATGTTGTTAAACAAGTGTATGTGTGCATTAAAAGTGTATAGCAAGTAGTGATGTTTGTTCCACAATTATTATCATCAAGTGTTCATGAGATGGATTGCCTGAGGGAAGAAACTGATTCTGTGTCGGGCTGTTCTGGTGCGCAGTGATCTGTAGCGTCGACCAGAAGATAAAAGTTCAAAAGGCAGTGTGCTGGGTGTGAGAGGTCCAGCGTGATTTGGCGACCCTTCTGCTCGCTCTGGATAGGGTGTTCTTGGAGAGTAGGGAGGGTTGTACCAGTGATTCGCTCAGCAGTCCGTACTTTTCAACATAGTCTTCTGAGGTCGGATTTGGTAGCTGCGCTAAACCAGACAGCTATTGAAATGTAGACGACTGATTCAATGATGGAATAATTTTCAATGATGCATTTAATATCCATCAGATTCAATGATGGATATTAATATAATTCAGGAGATTATTTAAACTTGTGATGGATATTTGTCATTGAAAAATTGCTATGATATTGAACTATTGTCTAAAGAATTAAATGATTCGTCTAAAGTTATAAGTAGTCATGTTGGGAGAATGTATATATGTGTTGATTACTACCAAGGGGTAGCATGGTGGCTTAGTGGATAGCACTGTCACCTCACAACAAGAAATTCGCTGGTTTGAGTCCTGGATGGGCCAGTTGGCTATTCTGTGTGGAGTTTTCATGTTCTCCCTGTGTTCGCGTGGGTTTCCTCCGGGTGCACCGGTTTCCCCCTCAGTCCAAAGACATGCAGTATAAGTAAAGTAAAACAAAATTGGTCATAGTGTATGTGTGAACGAGTGTGTATGGATGTTTCCCAGTACTTGGTTGCAGGTGGAAGGGCATCTGCTGCGTAAAACATGTGCTGGAATAATTGGGGGTTAATTCTGCTGTGGCGAGCTCTGATAATCACAGTAAGCAAAAGGAAAATCAATGAATTAAAGCTACCCATTTCACCA